GACGTAGGAACTATAGTCGTGGTGATCAACGTTGTGGAGGTTGTAGGGACCGATCCAGTGTCCCCCTCCGTTGTAGGTAGGCTTCCCTCTGCCCCGCTCATGATCACGTCAGATTCGGGACTATAGGAAAAATGAGAGTTCTAACAATATGTTGGATCCCCAAGCATCGAGAATAAATCCACGTTTTGAAGAAAAGCAAAATTTATTTCAAAGCATTGGAAAGACACTCAAACACGTTCTTTGTTAGAACTGACTACAAACGGTTAGGGCAAACAAGATAAAGGGATTCGAACCAGGTACAGGACCAATGGGGCACTTTCCCGCTGGCGGGTGAAAGGAAACGGTTGCGCGCTCATTCCCTGAGAACCAAGCTATCTCCAGACATAATACAGGTGCAGTTCCCAGGCTCTAAAAGCAACAAGCTGGCAGTAAAGCATACTCCCCCAATACATCCTCCAGTTGTTTGGCTTAGGCATTACAGCAGAGTAAAATACAGGCGTACAGGCAGGGGGGAGGGTTGAGCAACTGTACAGAGATACAACCAACACAGAACACCATGGCAGCTTGCTGACACTTATATTCGTTTAATGGCTTAAGTAACCTAAAAACACAAAAGAAATAATGTAATTCTTAAAAAAAAATATAGAAAACATTAGCTAAATTAAAATGTCCACTGACTGTAGTATAATCAACAAATTTAGAGTCCAATGGCACCTTTAAGACCAACAAAGATATATTCAAAGTGACCTTTCGTGTACACGCACACTTTATCAAATATATCAAAATATAACCAGTCAGTGTAGTGCATAATCAAATAAGGGTGCTCACAAAATTACCAGAAGATACCAAAAGGGTAAAATCTCTTAGCAAAGCTTATTTGTCATTACCTAAGATGCTGAACTGCAGACCGGAAGGTCGGTAGTTCAGCAGTTCGAGACCCGAGTGCTGCAAGACAGAGTGAGCTCCCGTCTCTGGTCCCAGCTCCTGCCAACCTAGCAGTTCAAAAGAAAGAAATTGCAAGTAAATAAATAGGTACTGCTTCGGTGGGAAGGTAACAGTGTTCCATGCACCTTTAGTCATGCCGGCCACATGACCACGGAAACGTCTTTGGACAGCGCTGGCTCTTCGGCTTGGAAACGGAGATGAGCACCGCAACCCTAGAGTTGGATTTGACTAGCTTTCAAGCAAGGGAAACTTTGACCTTTACCTTACCTGCATTGCATGCCGCTTTCACTTTCTTTGATCATCGGGTTTTATGGTACCTTCTGCATAGATTTATTTCCGTTTTATGGCCATTCTGGGGCGACTTTGCAGTCGGTGCAGCATTGGCCCTGGGGTATTTGAATCTGGTTTTGAGCTGCACCTTTTCCTTAGTGTTGAGGAAATGTGGAGTGAATGCCAGATGCCTTAGTCTGCACTCTCCCTGAGGCAGACCTGAACTCCGTCTGCTGCTGTGCTTCCCTCCAACATTCCATCCCCCCCAAAAAAAAGGTGATTAGATGCTGGAGCAGCACTCCTAAGAGGCTCAGGGATGAAAAAGGCTGTGTGGCTACTTTTTATGGGCAGGACAGCCTCCCGTACATCTTAGGAGCTTGCCTCTGTCCTGTGTGTGTTCAGCCTTTATATTCGTAAACACCAACATTAACTGTGATTTCTTTAATGACTGTAAATGCTATGCTTAGGAGTTTGATTCTCTTTTGCTTCTATCTTTGTATATTTCTGCATATTTCCACTTCAGTTGGCTCATTTTTTTCTAGTAAATAATGGATGACTCCAGACTTTACATCCCATTGTGGTTGAAGACTTCAACACAAGGCACTTTCTACTAGAGGAAACCTATTGGGAACAACAGAAATTTTTGTTCTAACCTAGTGTGTCCAACATTTATTTTTTTCTTACTTCTCAGATGGCAAAAAAATTAAAGATAATTGTTACAATCAGTTCTCAAGTATTGGGTATACCTGCAATATTTCTTAGAGAAAATAAACTCTGTAAATATGCTAAATAGGATAATTTTATGTGCTAAGTTATAAATTATGTGTTTTATGTTGTACAATCAGTCAAAGAAGCTTAGCTTTGATAGAAAAGTAAGTACTTCATATATTTCTATTTTTTCCTAACATTTCTGTCTTTTCCCAGTAAAAATGGGGGGGGGGTATTTTCCCATGGCCTCAAAATTTCCAGAAATTTTACATTCCTACCTGCTGCAACATTTGTATACATTATCTACACACAAGTAAAGCGTGCTTCCCCCCACCTTCAGAAGTACTGTTTTGTTCAATAAATCAATAAAGCAACAAGCATGATCGATAAACTGAGTATTTAGTCAAGTGACTTCGTAATTGAAATCTCTTTTGGTTTCATCTTTTTTACATTATGGGAATAAAAAAATATTTTGAACGCTGCTACTTCAAGAAAGCTCAGTTCAGTGCTATCAAGACACCGACAGTGAACCCACAAAAACTAATGTGTGGAGGGACATTTCTTCCACCCCTTCTGGTCTTCCTCTCAAAGCTATCTCTGCTTTGCCTTCCTCTCACAGCCCCCACAGTTCCTTCTGTTTTCCTTCTTCCTTCTTTCCAGCCCTGTTACCCCCCCCCGCTACATTTTCCTTTCCTCCCACCCTTATGATTTTTCTCCCCCCATCTTCTTGTCCGTCCTGCATCCCCATTCTGCATGCCCATTACTAAAGTCCTGTATTTGCACAAAATACCCATAAAACTAGCTATAAGTGTAATGTAGGCCTACATGTAGGAAACGGTTCTGTAACTGTGCCTTAAAAGTATTGGGTTAGATTCAAAGATTGTGTTCTGCCAATATAAGGCATTTTTATCAATGGAATAGAATCCCTGTCTCTGTTTCCCTAGTGCAGCTCTCTGAGCCCCCCAAAATGTTGTTTTGTGGAACAGGGGACCCTTTTGCACAGCAGGAGGAGAGGGAAGTAGGGGGATGGACCAGATGGACCCCAGCTCTCCCCAAGTGAATCTGTGGCAGACATTTTACACTACTTTGACAGTGGTTGCCTAGAGAACCCAAAGTGCTACTGAAATCTTGGCATTAAAAAAAAAGTTTTATCCTCTTTTTAATATATGGTTTTCCTGAAATCTTGGGGATTGCTCCTGGTTTGTAGAAATGTCTCCCCTGTCAGTTAGCCCTGTCATAGCTCTGGAATGTGGAGGGGTGCCTTCCTTGTTCTGTCTCAGCTCTCTCTGGCTCATCAACTGTTTGCTATCTTATGCTTGACCTTGTGGATGCTCCAGCTGCAGTTTACTCCGTTGGGAAAGTTAACGGCTTTTTGCTTTGCCTGCTTGCTTTGCCCATGCACGCGAGATGTATCCATTGGCTCATGCTTACATGGGGGGTGGGATGTTTGATTTTAGTATAAGTCAGAGGCCCTAGTACTGATGGCTATTCCTGACACAAGCTGTATACGTGTTCTTTAGTACTCGACTCATCAATAAACAGTTATCTTCTTTTGAAGCCCTGTGTGGTGTGACCTGACTAAAGACCCTGACATCCCCTATCTTTACATGGTCCCATAGTGTGGGTTTTTTTTGATCTGTCCTCTGATGTCAAGTTGAGAATTAAGTGTATGAAGATGTTTCTTGATCATTTTCTAATTCAATTTGTACACTTTCTCCTCTCCTTTTTGAAGGCAGCTATAGTCCTGTGTATGGATGTTGGCTCTTCAATGAGTAATTGTGTTCCTGGAGAAGAGTCTCCTTTCGAACAAGCAAAGAAAGTGATGACCCTGTTTGTGCAGCGACAGGTAAAAAAAAACTAATGACAGAATAATCCTGTGAAACATACCTATGTCAAGCACTGTGGAGGCAAGGAAATGTACAATATATATAAGGACATGGGGTCTATTTTGCTACATATGAGGAGAGTTAATTCAAGAATGCCATTTTCAGCATCAGTTCATGTTTATCATCTAGTCCCCCCCTCAGCTGGATGTTCAACTGCAGTTCAGGCACCATACTGGGTTGCCAAGGAATGTTGTTGTTGTTTTTCCTTACCCTAAATAATGCGTTTTGTTCCACTAATCCTTTGTCTATGGGTGACAAAGGACCAAGCATAACTTCTGCAACTATTTATGTGGATAGGGGTAGAATTCTCTAAAGGCATTTTTTGGCTTGATCAATTATTTCCAAATATTGACTTGCAGTCCTTGTAGCTGTTTGGTACCTGAGTATTTTTTTATTTTTATCTTATTTGCTTTCAATTTGTATCCCGCCTTAACTGGTATGAACTGGCTCAAGGCAGCTTACACATCATATGCTTTAAAATGTTTTGCATGTGATACACATAGAGTACGAAGCAATAGATCTGTATTAAATAAGGCTTAATTGTAAAATATATGCCACTCACTTTTTTATTTACCCTACCATTTTTTTTACCATCTCCAGGTATTTGCTGAGAGTAAAGATGAAATTTCCTTGGTTTTATTTGGTACAGATGGTACTGGAAACACTCTCGCCAGTGAGAATCAGTATCAGCATATTACTGTACACAGACACCTGTTTCTGCCAGATTTTGATTTGTTGGAAGACATACAAAATGTGGTTCAGCCAGGCACGGGACAAGGAGACAGTATCCTTTCTGAATATTGAAAATCTTTTCTCTGAAAAACAGTTACCATATTTACTTGAAAGAAAGGTATCCACAAATATAAACTACCCCATTAAAAACAGTTACCGTATATACCAAGAACAAAAATTACTGGACGTAACTGTAACTTGATATGCGAATGTAAGGTTCCCCCCACTCTTTTTTTGATGGCATACCTGGACAAAAAAATCTAGTATTAAGTTCTGCTACCTTTGGAAAATGTAATAATGTCAGCATACGGGCAGCAGTCCAAAGGATCTAAATATCTCCACTATTCCCGTTAACAATATAGTAATATAACACTACTCTACCTTACAGGGCTGTTCTACAGGTTGCTGAGTTAATGTATGTGAAGCATTCTGAATCCTCTAGATAATGGCTGAAACAATAGAACGATTATTGCTACAAATGCTGCAGTAGGATTAGTGCCACCACTATCGTATCCTGACCAACATGTAATTTCTGTCTGTGCTGTTTTAAATGTATCTTGTTCTTAATGAACTTAGTTCTCGATGCCCTTATTGTGTGCATGGATTTGCTTCAAAAGGAAACAGTGTAAGTACTTGTCTTTTAAGAATTCTGAAATATTTTGAAATAACTCTGCAACATTATGCTATTAGGAACGGTGCAGCCTTTTAAAACATTGCTCTGATGTTTTGTAATGACTGATGTGGATGAGTATGAAACTGACAGTAATAAGGGGAATTTCTGGAAACGTAGTGACCACTGACCACATAGACTAAAATGTTCACAGTGCATTGTAGTGACCAGTGACCACATAGACTAAAATGTTCACAGTGGAAATAACCACCCCCCAATGCACATTAGTAAAAAGGAGTCTTGGAGCAACCTTCAGCTGTAAGGTGGATCTATTAGTATGTTGGAGGAAATGGCACTACTTTCCAACCACACAGTCACTTGTTTTAGAGCAAAGTTCTAACAAATGTTTTATTTTACTAAAACGGGAAATAATTCTGAAAATAACACTGTAATTGCTAAGAAGCAGAACTACACTAATGTAAAATTGCGGAATTTAACTCAAATGTAAGTGAAATAGACTCATCTGACTTCAATGAAATGTTACTGAATGACAGAATGTAGCAGTTAAGGGTTTTCTTGATAGGATGTAAAGAAAGGTGCTTCTCCAGAGTAGCAGTAAATAAAATAATTATTTAAACTGTAATATTCTTATACTGAAAGGCATATATTAGTGATTTTTGTTAAATTTGGTGGCAAGATCAAATTTTGTTAAATTCAAGTAGCCACGAGAAGTTTAAGATTACATTTCGGAAAGCTGTAGTCAAAATGCTGTAACTGGGTATTTCCTTCTGTTGAAACTCTCCCCCCCCCCCCCGCCCTTTCTCTTCAGAGGGAAAAAATATGACAAACGACACATAGAGGTTTTTACTGACCTTAGCAGTCCCTTTAGCGAGGATCAGCTGGACATTATTGTGACTAACATGAAGAAAACCGGGATCTCGCTGCAGTTTTTGTGAGTAAGACCTATGAAACAGTATTACAACTCTGCCATTTTTCTCCAGGCCAGTTTGGCCAGGGATCCTGGTGGTTTTCTTGTCATCTTCTGGGCGTGGAACAGCGGTCACTGTGGGGGGAGGGGTATTTGTGAATTTCCTGCATTGTGCAGGGGTAAATTTTTTTTTAAAAAAACTCATTTTTTAAAAAAGTCAATGCTAGCTAAAACTTTCCAGCTGTATATCTGTATGAACTTATAGATCCAAATTTGCACAGAGCCATCTCCTTGGCCAGATTTAATGTCCTTCCTTCTGCTCTTCTCTCTGGCAGATTCCAGGGGATCCCCTACTCCAGCAGGTGTTGTCCTTGTAAGAAGGACTGTGTTGAAACTGTCCCCCATGTTCTCCTTCAACGTCCCTTTTATCTGGTGCCCCGCCAGGATCTTCTGTATCCTATATTAGCTCAATTCTCAGAGATTCCTGACGATTTTAAGGTTCTGTTTTTTGCTTGATAATCAAGATACGGAAATAACCAAAATAGTAGCAGGGTTTCTTCTTAGTGCTATGGCTATACGTTCTGATAAGTAACCATTAGGTTTTTCTGCTTTCATGCTGTTTTTCTGCACCGTAGCTCCAATTTTACCCTATATGGATTTGTATTTTCCGATCTGTATTTAATCTGATCTCCTATTGTATGTGTATACGTATGCCAATAAAGGCCTGTCAAATGTAATGCTAGCTAAAACTGATTGTAGTAATTAAATGGATGTCAATTCATAATTTTTTTCTAATGGGCACTATAGTTTGCCTCAAGCAGAGCCATTAAATCTTGTATGAAAAACTGCAGCAAGAAAAGCTAGAATTCTGCAACATGAATCAGATTTGTCTGTAGTTGCTTGTTTTGCATTTTTATTGTGCTTTTATCAATCCGGGAGAAGTAGCTAAAGAAGAGCATGGCCTTGGCCTCCTGCAGCCATTCATTTTGCTTCTGAGATTTCATGATGTATTACCAACATGACATCTTTAGCTATTAAGCTCAAAACTTAATTTTTCAAATTAATACTCAGCTTCCCAGGAAGCTAAATTCTGCATGCCCATCACTAAAGTCCTGTATTTGCACAAAATACCCATAAAACTAGCTATAAGTGTAATGTAGGCCTACATGTAGGAAACGGTTCTGTAACTGTGCCTTAAAAGTATTGGGTTAGATTCAAAGATTGTGTTCTGCCAATATAAGGCATTTTTATCAATGGAATAGAATCCCTGTCTCTGTTTCCCTAGTGCAGCTCTCTGAGCCCCCCAAAATGTTGTTTTGTGGAACAGGGGACCCTTTTGCACAGCAGGAGGAGAGGGAAGTAGGGGGATCTACAGACAGAGGAGGGACTTGGCAAACAAGGCAACCCTACTACTGGTGGAGAAGGACCTCTGAATCCGGTCCATTCTGCAAAAAGCTTCAAGTTGTCACTGATCTGTCACAAACAATACTGATAATGTTGTGCTATTAATAATATTGTTTTTATTATTATTATTATTATTAATAAAGAGATCTACATAGCATGTAGCACAAGGTTATTTAGTCATCACATAAGCTTCAAGAGAAGTTGAATGAAAATAATAAGCAGTTTCATCTTCTCCCAAATCCTGTCTTTGGCAGACTATGACAGGTTAGGTTACTGAATTCACTAAGGACATACTTCTCTGCTTTAAAAGTGGTGACAAGTGATGGATAGGAGACCAGATACAGTTTGAATATACGATGTCAAAACCATGTGTTTTCATTTCATGAGAGCCAGTTTGGTGTAGTGGTTAAGTGCGCGGCCTCTAATCTGGGAGAACTGGGTTTGATTCTCCACTCCTCTACTTGCACCTGGCTGGATGACCTTGGGCAAGCCGTAGCTCTGATAAGAGCTGTCCTTGAAAAAGAGCAGAGTCTGTCAGAGCTCTATCAGCCCCACCTACCTCACAGGGTGTCTGTTGTGGGGAGGGGAAGGGAAAGGAGTTTGTAAGCCGCTCTGAGACACCTTTGGGTAGTGAAGGGCGGGATATAAATCCAATCTCTTCTTCTTCTACACTTTGACATTTTCATTCTTTATGTAAGTGACATTTCAATTATAACAAAATAGTTTTATGTGGGTGCACTATATTAAACTTTCAGTCTGGTCCCTATTGGCAGTGGAAAAATCCATCAACTTTATTTATGGATTTGCAAAATATTGCAGCTTATTAAGATACTATTCAGAGCTGGTCATGCCACCAATGACTAATAATACAGCCATAATTAGTGTGGGTTTGCTTGCTAAGGCTCCAGAATCACATTTGGAAAAAGTATCCGGATAATGGGAGGCTAGAAAATGTCAAGTGGTCATATTACATTTCTTTCCCTTTTTTAAAAAAATAAAAAGGGCATTTGAAGTTATGTGCAATTGTGGTTTTGGTGACTCAGGCGCACAAGTGACAGTTGCGTTTGATTGTATTCCTAGCTTGCCATTTCCAGTGAAAGATATAGACGGAAGTGGGGATGCGGATGATGAGGCACGTTCCGGTAGGCACCAAAGCTCTTTTCCAAGAAAGGGGCTAACTGAGCAGCAAAAAGACGGTCTCCTAATGGTGAAGAAGCTCATGTTTGCACTGGACAAAGAAGATGGTCTGGAGGACATTTACACTTTCAGGTAACCTTAAACTGCTATAGTAAGTAGTTTGCTTTTTATTTCAGGCCTTTAAACAGAGTTTTCTTCCATATTCCTTGGATTGTTTAGCACTACAATCTTTATCACATTTATTTAGACAATTGTTTTGAATATGGTGGAACTTAATGTAATATAAATGTACTCTGGATTACAGGGCCCAAATAAGAACATAAGAGGTACTCTACTGGTTCAGATTGGTAGTACATCTAGTCCAGCATCCTTTTTCCAGCCTCCAACCAGTTGGGTTGCAGGGCCTACAACCATGGCATAGAGACCAAGACCTTTCTCTGTTGTTGCCTCCTATTTCTGATACTCGTAGCTTTAATGCTTCTGAATGTAGAGGTTCCTTTTAGGTACCATGACTACTTGTCATTGATGGGCATATCCTCCTGCAATCCCCTTTTAAAGCCACATATACTAGTGGCCATTGCTGTGAATTCCACAAGTTGATTGCTCACTGAATAAAGTGCTTTTGTCCATCCTGAGTCTACTTCATTGCATGCCCCCAAGTTCTAGTGTTATGCGAGTGGGGAAAAGGTTCTCTCTATCTGCTTTCTCCACCCTATGCCTAATTTTATAAACTTCTCATGTCTGTCTGAAAAGCACTGTATGCTTTAGAAGCACACAGAGTTGGAAGGGGCCATACAGGTCATCTAGTCCAATCCCCTGCTCAAACCCTAGAGCATCCCTGACAAGTCCAGCCTTGCGTACATGCTCTCTGAAGCACAAACATCTGCATGGATGACTTTTATAAAGAAATAAAATTCTCTAATTGGGCTAGATTTTGATGACATAGTGTATCTTCCTGAGAGGAGTGCATTTGTTCTGATTAAGCAGAGACTTGTTGATATTGAAATGCAGGAACTTAGAAGTATTGCCTCTGGTAGGTGCTCACCTCTGAGGTGGGTGATGTCCTTTGCCTGAATATTTTGCTTGTCTGACAACCCCTGATCTGCGAAGAGCATTCATGTTAGCTCATTTTAATGTTCTCCCTTCTGCTGTATTGTATGGGAGGTTCAAGAAAATCCCATACTCGTCTAGGTTTTGTGCCTGTGGCTTGGTAGAGATTGAAAGTGTCGAACATGTTCTCCTGTATTGTTCTTTTTATTATGATATTTGTGCTGTTTTTCTAGAACCTCTTTAACAGAGTCAAGTAGGGCAATCTGATGACTATAAGATCGTTTCACCATTATCTTCCCATAACCCCGAGATCATAGAATCTGTAGCTAAATTTCTCTGTTGTGCAATTAAGAGGAGAAGTGGCCAGGCCTGTTGTAAAGCCTCGCACCACGCAGAGGCATCGCCAGGTTGTGCGTTATGTTGCCCCTGGAGGACTGTCATAACCAACTGCCGCTTTGTATGGAGACATGCCAATGGAGGCATGACAGGTATTGTTGTAGCAATACTCAGCTAGTGGCAACAACTCACACCAGTTGTCTTGTTGATAGTTCGTAAAACAACGTAAATACTGTTCCAACGTTTGGTTTACCCTTTCCGTTTGCCCATCAGTTTCCGGGTGATAAGCACTGCTGAGCCCCTGTTCCACCCCCATTATCCCCATCAGTTCTTTCCAGAACTTGGAAACAAATTGTGTCCCCCTATCGGAGACCACCTTGGCCGGTAGGAGATGGAGGCGTACGATGTTGTTGAAAAAAGCCTTGGACAAAGCTTTTGCAGTGGGGAGCGAAGGGAAAGGAACAAAATGCGCCTGCTTTGAAAACAAGTCCACGACCACCCAAATGGCAGTTTTATTTTTACTCGGCGGTAGGTCTGTGATAAAATCCATGGAAATGACCTCCCAGGGCCTGGAAGGAGTCGAGAGGGGGTGCAACAGACCCGGAGGTTTCCCCCCCTCGGTTTGGCACATTTTTGACAAGTTTGTACAAACGCCGTTAGGTCCTTGTGCATGTGAGGCCACCAAAACTGGTGCTTGAGCAATTGCAAAGATTTTACAAATCCCGTGTGTCCCGCCAGTTTGGACCCATGCGCCGTTTCCAAAACCTGTCCCCGCAGCACAATGGGTACATACAACTTTCCCTCCTTGTACCAACAGCCGTTCTCTCCCTCATAGCAGCCCTCAATCCCTTGCACGATAGCCATATCCTCCTCCGAACCCCCCCTGCCAGTCATTCGGCTGGGCCATTTCGAGGGGTTTGTAGGCTGCGAGGGAGACAGCGCAGAGGGGAGGGGTGGAGGCGAAGAAGGGGCGGCTGGGATTTTTGCGACTTGGCTCCGTGTAGTCACCGCAGCCCCAGGTGGGCGGGAGTGAAAATGGAGTCCACAATGACGTCTCTCTGGCTGGCATGTTGAGGAAGGCGGGACAGCCCATCCGCCAATGAGTTAGTGGACCCCGGGAAATGATGGAGGGTGAACTGGAATTTGGAGAAGTCAGCCCAGCGCAGATGCTTGGCGTTAAGGCAGCGGGGCGATTTCAAAGTCTCGAGGTTTTTGTGATCAGTCCACACCTCAAACGGAACTTTCGCCCCCTCCAGCCAGTGCCTCCACGTAGACAACGCAAGCTTGATTGCCCCCGCTTCCTTCTCCCACACGGACCAATGCCTTTCAGCCTCCGAAAATATTTTGGAGATGTACGCCAGCGGGTGCAACAGCCCTTCCCCCCCTCCTGAAGGATCGCCCCCCCCCCATGGTCACATCCGATGCATCAGTTTGTACAATGAATTTCTTGGTCTCGTCAGGGTGAGCCAAGACAGGTTCAGAAGTAAATAGTTCTTTCAAGCGCTTGAATGCCCCATCGCATTCCGCTGACCAATTTAAAGGGGTCCCGGGTCTCGTGGCGTCAAGACCCTTTCCCTTAGTTTTTAAGAGGTCAGTGAGGGGCAGGGCGATCTGGGCAAAGTTCCTGATAAAAGATCTGTAAAAATTGGCGAATCCTAAGAACTCTTGTAACTGCTGTCTAGTTTTGGGTGCCTCCCACCCCAAAACGTCTTTAATTTTCCCTGGGTCCATTTCCAACCCGGCTGGGGAGATGCGGTAGCCCAAAAAGTCAATCTGTGTCTTGTGAAATTCACATTTGGACAGTTTGGCAAACAGCTGGTGCTTGTGCAACGTTTTCAATACCTTCCTGACCAGTTTGACATGTGAGGGGAGGTCGGGGGAGTACAATAAAATGTCGTCCAAGTAAATAAGCGCCACCTTAAACAAATGCTCATGCAACACCTCATTAATCAAGTTCATAAAGACCCCAGGAGCGCCCTGAAGACCGAACGGCATAACTAGGTACTCAAACTGCCCCAAAGGGGTATTGAATGCAGTCTTCGATTCATCGCCTTCTTTGATGCGCACCCGAAAGTAAGCATCCCGAAGATCCAGCTTGGAAAAGATTTTCCCCTTTGCCGCTTCCGCTAGTAAGTCTTTAATCAGCGGCATTGGGTAGGCATTTGTGGCGGACAACGCGTTCAGGCCCCGATAATCTGTACAAAGTCTCAAGCTCCCATCCTTCTTTTTCCGAAAGAGGACGGGTGATGCGAAGGGGGAGGAAGCCGGGCGGATAAATCCCCGAGCAAGGTTCTTGTCAATGAGCTTCCTAAGTTCCTCTCTCTCCGCCGGCCCCATCGCATAAATTTTCCCCTTTGGTAGCTTAGCTCTGGGGACGAGCTCGATGCGGCAATCGGAATGCCGGTGGGGTGGTAACTCATTGGCTTCTTTCTCCCCAAACGCCGCAGCAAGGTATTCGGGAGGCAAAGAGGCAATCTCCTCCCTGGTTAGGAGTGCAAGCGGGGAGTTTTTCGCTGGCATTTCACCCCACTCTGTCTCCCACCTATGTAGTTCGCACTTGGGTGACATGAAATTGATTTGCCCTTCCTCCCATAGAATGTATGGATCGTGGCTGTATAGCCAAGGGGCCCCCAGTACCAGGGAGAATTGGGAATCTGGGGTGATTATAAAAGAGCGGTGCTCCCAGTGCTCGCCCGCTCCCAACCTCAACGGCATAGTCTCGTACAGACAGGGATCTTTCATTTGAGTGAAAATAAGTGGGTCTTTCAACTTTTTCACCCCTGCTTCTAAGCCCGATACCACAGCAGTGCTAATTAAGTCTCTCCCGTACCCCGAGTCAATCAGCGCTTTGACGCGCACATGAGTCCCCAACAGGGGATTCATCAGAGACACAGTCACAAAGAACAGGGAGTGGGGTTCGCTCACCACTGTTGGCGCCTCCAAGGGAGGGTCCTGCCGCTGTGCGCCTCTCACGGCAGGACCTGGTCGTTTCCCGCGAGCTCGTTGTCATTCTCACTAGAGTCTTCCTCTTCTTCCTCAGGTGAAGCCTGCAAGGCTTTGGCAAATTTAGGTTTTCCCAACGCTTTCTTGGCCGGGGTCGCTGGTCTTGGCTTGGTCGTCGCTGGTGGTTCCCTTTGGGGTCGTTGACCACACTCCGCTGCAAAGTGGCCCGTTCCCCACACTTCAGACATAGCCCTTGACGCATCCGTTGCTCACGGGTCGCTTCTGACAGGCGGGGGGGGTTCGACTTCTGGCCGGGTTTCGACTTCTCGCCTTCCCTCCTCCTGCAGCCATCTCCAGGCGGAGAGTCTGAAGACGGTTTTCAGCGTTCTCCACCTCTTGGGTCCACGCCATCAGCGATACCGGGTCTACTGAGCGAAGCATGGTCTCTCGGATTTCGGGGTTCAGCCCCACGTGGTACATCTCTACCAGGACGTGCTCTGGCCAGTTCGGGAGCTTAGCCGCCTGGTTCTGGAATTCCATTGAATATTCACGTACCGTCTGGCGTCCTTGCTTAAACGTGCGCAAGAACGCTTTCGCCCGCTGGCCCGCGTTCAAGTCTTCAAACCGGGTTCTTAGCGCCCACATGAACGCCCTCATGTCTCGCAACTCCGGGCCACGGCTGTTATGTAGTCCCACATACCAAGTAGCCGCCCTGCCCTTCAGCCTTGCCGCTACCACATCAATCCGGCTGCTGTCATTAGGGAACAGGTGCCTGTGCGCGTGATGAATTTTTGCACTCGCAC